CGACAGAACAGATATAAAGGAAATGCTGCCCGCGTTAGAAAAAGTAGACAGGGAGCGAGAGCAAAGAGAAAGGGAAATTCATGAAGAAGAGGAAAGAAGGGTGAAGGAAGGAAGACCGGAGGAGATGACAATTAAGATATTAAAAGAAGTATTGGATGAACTTGGAGTACCATATAACAAAACGTTAAGAAAACAAGACCTAATACACTTAGTGAAAGATGCGAGGGAAACCACTGTATCAGTCTTACCAGCCGAACAAGCCACCGGCTCTTTTGCATATTATGCGGACTCTCTCTTCAATTTTTTTCTCAATTTTTGTAGAACAGACAACTTTAAGAAGGGCACCACTTCCAGTATATTTTTTTATTGATAACCGGAGATACGCTTTTTATTATCTATTAATTCACTTGGTCTTTCTTTTGGAAGCTTTCAGGTGCTATATGGAAGGTTTAGTTTATTTACACTATCTATGTATATATACTTCAGGCCCTTATGGAAGTAACAACAAACATCTTACTTTTAATAATTATGTTAATTTACCTTATAACTGTAATTATTGCTAGTCAACCCGTGGCAAAGATGAATCTCGCATTTCTCAACAGTATTAAAAATTGGCAAATACTAATAGAGTGTAATCCAGGCTTACTGTAGGTTTAARTTTTCGCAGATAGTTTACTCAGCATTTACTAACTGTTATAGCTATAAAAGCTGATTGTTACCGTTTATTAAAAATTAAATCATAATCGTAAAGTTATTTCACGTGAATTTGTACGACCAAAATAAACGAAACGGCTTAATCGATATAAGCGATGTTAATCAATATTAATCGATGGTAGTTTACCATCGATTACTAATCGATAAAAGGTCACCGATTTGTTCCTCATTGATTAGTCATCAATTTCCAATATTAATCGATTAATATCGATTTTATCGATCATCGGTTTCATCGATTAATTACTCCGGGTTGTTAATTGACCATGTTGATCTAAACCAATCTGAAATACCAGTATTATGGAACGGCGTAGACGAAGAAGGAGGTGTACAATCAGAGAAGGTAAGGTTGTAATTAAGTACACTGGAATAAGGGATAATAATAGTAAACAGAAGTCGTCCAAATCATTTATTAGTTAAGACCTCTTTGTTTTACAAATAATAAAAAGTTAAAATAAATTAAGGTGATTGTAGTTTCATAATTTTTGAATGTAGAGTCTTATTGGTTAATAGTAGAGCGTATAACTTAGCATGTATACATTTGGCTTGTAAAAATTTGATTAAAGAGTTAATTACATTGTAAGTATTGTGCTTATAAGTAAAAGTCCATCATCAATGTATCTATGAAAGGCTATAAAGCTATCGTGATTATTACTAGAAGTTAAAAATTATATTCTGCAAGTAACAATATAAGGTCAGCCATCTGTCTAGAATGATAACTGCACATAGGTATACCCTGAATTTGTTTAAAAACTTTTGTATCAAATTTAAAATACTTATTACAAACAGCTATTTACAAACTTATTAATATTGAGTAAAAAATCTCTGTAAGTGACTGAGTAATTAAGAAATTTGCAGCTAGTAATAATGGCTATTTACAGTATCTTGGAAGGTAATATTTGTGTATAAAGATGAAAAATCTATAAAAGTCTATATCAGTAATATGTACTGATCTTAATTTATTTATAAGATTAAACGATGAATAAATAATACGAAAAGATAAATTATTATCGATAAAATATGATTTCAAATCTAAAATAATACTGTCTAGCTGAGAACCTAATAATTGCGAGGCTGGACTGGTAACCCACGAGTGAGCAGTGATCATAGGTCTGACTTTTAATTTATGTAAAATATCTTTTGTAGGTTGAACGGATAACTTATGTACTTTTGGATAGAGACTGAAAAAAGGTAAATTAGCATGTAGTTTAGTATGTAAATTAATAATATTAAAATTGATAGTTTTGAAAATTTTACTGAAACGAGACTTGATATTATGCAAAAATAGTTTAGCTTCTGAAAATATCTTATCTATATTAAAATTAGTAATTTCTAAATAAGTAGAAGTATCATCAAGTTGCCGATGACCTTCAGAAATAAACCAAGTAGTAGGTATTAGAACCCAACCTAAATTCTTATCTGCCTTAATAAAAATAATATCCGTCGCCGTTTGAATTTGTGTATTATGAATTGCCTGTCGTTGTCAGATATGTTAGTGTGTGAAAATTGTGTCTTGTATAGGTCGTTAATCGTTGTGGAGTTAATAGTGTCATGTATGAGTGTTGTAGTCTTGTAAGTGTAGTCGATTAGATCTAAATTAAAATTAGGCTTATTAATATGGCTTAAAATAGTAGTACGAGGATCTGAATAAGGTTTGTATCTAATAGGAAAAAAGGACTTTGATTTTTTTGTTTTTCTACGAATAGGCAATTGGCCATCTGAAGTAATAAGTTTGTCTAAAGCAGAATAGCTTTCTTGTAAAATATTTTTCTTAATATGATCTTTTGAAATATTGTTAAAAGTAGGCACAAAAGAAGTACCTTTGTTCAATAAATTAATATTATCTTGATTCAAATGTAAATCTGTAAAATTGTGAATCTTGCTAGATTTTGGTAAATTAATTCTAGCATTGTTGAAAAATGAATTCATTTCCTGTTTTCTTTTGTTTAAAAGGAAAAAAACTAATAGTAGTATCAATAATCTTAATTCTGAAGTTGAAAAAATTATAATATAAAATAGATTCAAATTTATACTTATGGCTTGCGTTGTAGTTGAGATGCTTGCAGGTGCTCTTGATGGCTTTGATTCTTTGCTTGTAAATGGAGTAGGTAGTCTTCTTAATAAGCTGGATGGTAGTTCTTTGATGTGGTTTTCTGTTTCTTGGATGTTGTTGAGAATGTTTTCAGCGTCATTAAGATTGGGAGATGTGGTAGTAGTTGAAGTGACTGTTTTGTGGTTAGTGTATTCTGTTATTACAGTGATGGATTTTTTCAAGGAGTACAGATGAGCTTTGTTAGTAGAGATTTGTTTACAGATATTATGGAGCTTAAGAAGTTGCTGATCATACTGTTTGATGAGATACTTTTTCTTGTTCTTTTTGAGTACTTGGAGCCAGGTTTTTGCGTTATCAATGCGGGAGATCTTTATTCTGAGTTTATTGTTATGTACTTTCTTGAATTCTTTAGCTTTATGAGTAGTTTTGTTAAATTTTCTTCTGGCTTTACATTTTCTTCGTTTAATCAAGAATAATCGTTGTCTTTGGCGTTCACTTGATTCTCGATTTGCTTCAGTCACGTTTTCTCTCCTTAGGTCCAAATTTTGGCCAGATGTTTACAAAAGTGACAAAAACACCAAATTTGGCACAAAGCTCCGTTTTGATATAAGAAATGATTCCAGAGGGGTTGCCCAGTGATCCGAGATCCGGGGGGGGGGTGCACAAATTGCTTCTCAGTGTTGTTTGGGTGTGTAAAAAGTCTAAAGCCTTTATCAGATAATATCAACCAGAGTTAAGCTTATAACTTATGACATTTCAAGTTCGAATCAAATTTACGATCAACGTTTTGGTTTGAAATTGGTTTTAAAAGTAAACGAGGAACCCAAATTAATAATTTGAAATAAAAAGAAAGCGTTTATGTGATATTTAAATGCAAAACTATAAACTAAATGAAAAAAAAAACGTTAAAATACTTACAGTTCTCTTAGATGTGCGAAATAACCATCTTGACCAGCATCTTGGATAAGATTCTTGGTTGAGTAGGACTGAGCACTAGTACTTATGGAGAATTCGCAAAAACTGCCTTTTGGGAACTTTATTATTATTATTATTATTATTTTTTTTTTTTTTTTAAACCTAATATTCTAACTTCCAAGAAGATGTATAGTAAAACAAATGTTTACTGCTTTAATTATACCGTTGAAAAAACAAATTCAAATTTTATTCCACAGGAAGCCCAATTTGACATTTTTTAAGAGACCTGACTATCCCGTTCAACCCGCGTTGTTCTTCACTAAGACTTCCTCGACGCTCTCTTTTGTCTTTCCTTCTTTAGATAAAGGTCGCTTTCCGTTAGCTACCCGTTGATTTTCCGACATTGTTGGCGCAGAAGTGAAGTGATTCAAAGAAAAACATGGAGTCGTTGTGGTGAAAAAGCGCTTCCTTTTCCCGCCAAAAGCTAGTAGCCAATCAGAATCGCGATGTACGCGGACGGACGTAAGGAAGAACAACTGGGCTTCCTGTGTCGGTTGATCAAAACTCAACCCCATGGTTTTTCCTTAGTTATGGTGCTCCGCTGCGCGCGAGCCTTCGGCCCGCGCGGGAGCTCCGGTATAAATGCATTTCCACTATTTGTATACCAGTGTTACATAATTTCTCTTACCTGTGCTCAGTTTTGGCCAATATTCTAATTGCATTTCCCCCATTATTTTCCTCTAAATGCCACAAACTACACTGTACAGTGTACGTGGAGGATACCTCTCTCCAGAATCTTTACACACTTCCATAATAAATTTCGTTAGCCAAAAATTCAGCGATTCCACAGTCATTTTAATTATGTCAGTTTCCAATTCTTGGATTGTGTCATTCGGCATCTCAGGCTTCTTACTCTCTCTCGCTGACTGCCATTCTGTGAATATCCTCATTATCCACTTATTTACACAACGTGTGGACTTTGGTCATGGCCAACTATTCCGGTCTTTTGAGCCCGTCATCTGTCAGCGGTATTCTTTCTAAAACTAAGAATCCAAGATGGCGCCTTCAAAGCGCAGTACTACAGCAAAAGGATTTTATTATCAGCTTCATAATTTGTCTCTGGCCTTAAATATTAACACTAAACCAAGTATCATAAAGACATGAAGGCTGCTTGTGTGCATTCTGGAAAGGAATTTGTACCAGGTCAGTTATATGTTGCCTGTTCTCGCGTGTCTTCCATGCAAGGATTGTCTATTGTGAATTTCAACGAATACAAGCTGATAAGATCCTCAAGCAAAGTAGAGAACTTTTATGCCAATTGTCATGATGATGCACCTCTACCATCTCTTATGTGCTGTACCCATAAGGCACTCTGCCTGGATGGAATAAATGGACAATTAATTGAAATGGAGCAGTGCACAGATGATTTTCAACTTGATGATCAGGAATTGGAAGAAATTGATAAGATTTG